AGCCAAGCTTCTGATACTGTCCAGCTCCGCCTGCACTAAAAGGCAGGGGCCGGAGCAGAGGATGACCACGGAGGCCTGACCAAGAGGGCAGCTCCGCAGCAAGCAAGAAAGCCCGGTGCCTCCAGTCTGTGCTCGAATTGTCTACAGGCAGCTAGAAGACTTTGTCTCGGCATCTGTTCAACATCATCAGCCCCCCTGGGCAAAGTCGGGGCTGGGGCAAGGACTGGGAGCTGCTGGGGCCAGGGACACTGGTTTCTGTGTCAGTTCTCCTCAGGGTCCTCTGGGACAGCCCCTGGCTCATTAGCACATGGTCAGTTAAGAACACAAGCTTTGGAGCCTGACCAAGTGGGCATCGAACTAAGAGACGTAGGGTGAGTCCCTGAATCCCCCTGTGCCCGTGGATACTTTCTCATAAAATGAGGCTTATAACAGTCCCCACCTCACAGGGCTGTGCTGAGGATGAGACTACACAGAACTGTATAGAAGTCTCTGCTAGGCCATTCATCTATACTGAGTGGCAATGGTGTCTGCCTGTCTCCTCATCTAGACCATGCACTTTCACCTGAGGGCAGAGCCTGATCCACGTGCCGACACACAGGTCCTGTCAGTATTGGCTGGCGTGATTGATGAAACAGAATCCTATCCTGCTCGGCCATACTGACAGGTCTCCCTACACTCCGGCCCCACCGGCCGTGACTGGAGGCCTGAACAGGTGGGTCTGCCATCCCAGGGAATGGTTTCCTCTGAAGGCCCTCTTTGCTACCACATGGGCCTTCATCCAGCAGCGGAACGCAGGAACTCAAACTATGAGCCAGGTTTCCAGAGCAGGTCAGCAGGAGATGCATAGATTCTTACTTCCTTAGCCTTCTGACTGCTCAGCATCCCCAACTTCTCCGTATCGCAACAATTAATCCCAGCATTTTCCCCCTCTCCTCCAATTACTCCTGTACAGTAGCGCTTCTCAAAGTTTAACATGCATACAAGCCACCTGGAGATCTTGTTGGAATGAGTCCAAGGTCCTGATTCAGCATGTCCAGTAGCAAGGCTGTACCCTGCTGCCAGGATAATCTTCCTCATGCACAACTATGATCGTGTCACTTGAACGGACTTGAACAGATCTTTCACCCTAACACATATACGAACAGCAGACGAACCCATGAAAAGATGCTCAACAGCATTAGTCAATGCGGTTTAAAACCACGACCGATTGCATACCTATCACATACCTATTAGAAGAGTTAAGAATAAAAATACAATACCAAGTGCTGGTGAGGATAAGATGTGCAATAACTAGAATTTCCATACTCCGCTGGGGAGGATACGAAATACTACAATTGCTTTGGAAAACAGTTTGACAAGGTTTTCTTTTAAATAAAGTTAAATACACACTTATGAACACTGGTCTGACATAGCGATCCTACTCTTACATGCTTAGATATTTGCCCAAGGGAACTGAAAATTTATATTCACACAAAAACCTGTGCATGACTGTTCTTAGGGAGTCTGTTCACAACCACCAAAACCTGGAAATAACCCAAAAGTCCTTCAACTGATGAATGGATGAACCCACTGTGACACATCCACAGAACAGAATAGTGGTGAGAAAAGAAGGGAACGTATGACTGTTGACATACAAAAACCTGGATAAATCTCAGATGTGGTATTCTAAGTGAGAGAAGTTAGACTCAAGAAGCTACTTGCTCTATGATTCCATGTATAGGACACTCTGGAAAATAAAACTAGAGAGACAGTCAACAGATCGGTGGTTATAAGGGGCTATGTGGGGGGAAGGGTTTCCTGCAAAGAGACAAGAAAATTCTGTGGCATGATGGGAATGTTCTGTAGCTTGGTCATGGTGGTATTTACAAGACTATATGCATTTACGAACATCAGAATGACAAAAAGGATGAATTCTGCTGCATGTACGTGACACCTCAAAAGCAGTGACAGTGACAAAAGCTTTTCATGGTTCCCATTTGCACAAGGAATTAAAATAAAGTCCAAACTCCAGAACCCCTTATCTTTTCTAATTATTGGTACTATTCATTTTCTTAAATGCTGGCTAAACTTTTCCGCCACTCAAAGGTGCCCTGGATTTTCTTCCCTCAGTCTGTCTCATCTCCTGGAACAGCATTTTCTTTCACAGAATAGGTAGATAATAAACACTGAGTGAATGAATGAATGTTCCTAATATCCCTTGATTTCCCATTGCCCCCAAAAATGGTGCCATAGAAAGATAAACCTACAAGGTCTTGTAGGTGCTGCCTTTCTAACAAGCTGCTTTCTCTCCAAGGAGCTCAGTCTTTTGTAAGGGCTTGCTGACTCTGGTTGATTCTTTGGACGCAGGCAAATGAGCTGAAACAAACCCCCAGTGTGCTCAAACCCCTGGAAGCTGTTTGCAGCCTTGGAAAGGGCCTGCCTTGGCACACATCTCACTGGCTTAGGACCCTCCAGACTCCCCGCTGCCAGGCCCAGGTAGGAGAGAGGCCAGCTCGCTGACAGGAGGCCTGAGGTGGTGTCACCCAGCCTGGCCCTGGTGATTGATTCCCCTGTCCTCACTCACTCGTTAGCAGTAGGGCTCCTCAGTCCCCACATCCGCTGCCTGCCTGGAGGGGGAGGCGGGGAGTGCTCTCTCTGGCAGGTCTGTCCTCCCAGCGCTGCCTCCCAGACCTGCCTCCCAGACCTGCTCACCATTTCCTCAGTCCTCCATGCTCTCTCCTCAGCCCCAGCGCGCAGACTCCCTAGAGGGAAATGGATTCTGAGAGCCTGAGGTGCTGGTTTGAGGGTCCCAATCAAGAACCGCAAAGGAGATTCACAGACACTTATACATACAAATACACAGAGGGGAAAAATTATATCCCTGATATGGTCTTTGGCCACAAGCCCCCAAATTGTCTTCAGATGAGCTAGGAGGAGCCAGGTTTTTTGCAGGCTACAGGCAGATCTGAGCCTTAGTGAAAATCTGGCTGAGGGTGAACAGCACCTTCATCTTAGTCCTCCAGACTTTACCCTTCTTGAGGAAAGGAAAGACAAGCAAAGGGGGAAGCTGTTTGCCCCACTGAGGCTCCCTCAGATAACGCGGCCCTACTGCATCTTTGCTCATCAATGGTCCACGCAGCTCTTTTTCGGGTGGGATGAGGTGAGGAGTGCTCCCGAGATTCCCCTGGGGTCCAAGGATGGTGACACAGACACATTTTTTTAAACCTGCAGCATGGATATAGACTCCTTGCCAGGGCCAGTTACATAATTTGTGGGCCCCAGTGCAAAATGAAGATGTGGCGTCCCTTATTTAAAAAGCAGAGAAAGAAGTGCCTTTGAAAGTACTAAAACATAAAGCTTGTTCGTTTCACCTGTGGTCTCTGTTTGCGGTGGTGTTTTTTATTTGCTATAGAGCATTGCAAATAAAGACAAATGAACATTTTAGATTATTAGCACAAATTTTTGCCATTCATCTATATATTGTGCAATACCTGTTTTACATGCAAATATAGAGCATTTAACTCACGTAGAATCACTAACGTTACGCAGTTTGTATCTCACAGCCTGTATATGCCTATGTACTTCCTTCTTACTGAGCGGTAGACACTGCACAAAATGAATACATTGTTTTTATTTTCCCATCTTGCTATGCATGTGTTCTACCAACACTCTGCTTTCAGCTTACTGATGAATAGGAAGGACTAGAAGTAGGGGTGCCTGGATGGCTCAGTAGGCTAAGCATCCAACTCTTTTTTTTCTTTCAAGATTTAACTTATTTATTTGACAGAGAGAGCGAGAGAGCACAAGCAGGGAGAGCAGCAGAGGGAGAGGGAGAAGCAGGCTCTCCGCCGAGCAGGGAGCCTGATGCAGGGAGCCCGATGCGGGACTCGATCCCATGACCCTGGGATCATGACCTGAGCCGAAGGCAGATGCTTAACCATCTGAGCCACCCAGGCACCCCAAGCATCCAACTCTTGATTTAGCTCAGGTCATGATCTCCAGGTTGTGATCTCAGGGTCACGAACTCAAGATTGTGGGATCGAGCCCCACATCGGGCTCCGGGCTGACCATGGAATCTGCTTGAGATTCTCTACCTCCCTCTCCCTCTGCCCCTCCCCTGCTTGTGCTCACTCTCAATCTCTCTCTAAAAAAATATTAAAATTTAAATAAAAAAAAAAAAGAAAGGACTGAAAGGAAAAAGAAGTTCCTCTTTCCCTTTCCTCCTATGGCTTCTTCTCTCCCTCTTTCCACCTTTTGGTAAGGTCCCCATCCTGCCCCTGACTGCCATCCTGGCTTCTTCAAGTGGCTCTCCTGTGAGAAGGCTGATGTCTACACAGCGTGGAGAGGCCCTGGATCCTCCCAGAGCTTCGGGCCTTCTAGATGCCCAGGAACCTCTACATTAGCCACATTTGAATGGGATGTTCCCTTCCCTAATTCTGTCTCCTATTTCGTCATTTAAAAAGTAGTATAATAATTAGCATGGTTGAGCATTTATTATACTGGACACACACCCATACAACTGTTCACAACCAGAACGCTTGTGGCCCTGTGGCCCTCAGAGTCCTCAGTGATAGAAGTTTTGCCTGCGTTAGTCTGCAGCCTCTCTCCAGAAAGCTCAGACAGGAGTTCATCAAGCTGAGCTCCGAGGCAGGGGAAAGAGGGTGTAGGACACATCATGCCAGACACCTGCTTTCTTCTCCCTCTACCTGGGACCCCAGTGCTTCTTTGACTCCTTCCTTTCTCTAAAAGACCCACATGTAAATCGACCCCAGGAGTCCTCCTTACCATTAAGTGAGACAAATTTAAGGAAGAGAAAAACTTAGGCTGAAGGGGAGAGCCCCAGGACATGACCACATACACACACAGCCAAAGGGCGCCCTCCTACTTTACTGAGAATCATTTCCCTCTCTCCCCTCCAGGGCCCCTGATGGACACGGTGGGCGGTCTACAGGAACCCTGCACCCCTGCCCTCAGGTACTCTCTATCACATCTTGATGTGATAGTTTCATTATTACACTTACCATTATAAGTTATTGTTGGCCTGCTTATCGTCTCTCTCCCATCACCCTGGAAGGCCAGTTCCATGAGGGTGGGGTCCTCATCTGCCATGTTCCTTGCTGTAACCCAAGGGCACATAGTATACAGTCAATATGCAGTAGATGAACAAATGAATGAATGAATAAGTGGTATCTTTTGTTGTTTTCATTCTCTTCACTTAGCACCTGCACGGCTCATGTGCCCTCTAGACCCTCAAAGTCAAATTCCATAAATCACCCAGAGGGTTTAATCCTTCAGAAACCAAGACATGGGGACACCTGGGTGGCTCAGCCGATTAAGCATCTGCTTTCGGCTCAGGCCATGATCCCAGGGTCCTGGGATCGAGCCCCGCATCGGGCTCCTTGTTCAGCAGGGAGCCTGCTTCTCCCTCTGCCTGCCGCTCCTCCTGCTTGTTCTCTCTCTCTCTCCTCTGACAAAT